TCCCCTCAGCCTCCTCTTCTCCAGGCTGAGCCCCCCCAGCTCCCCCAGCCGCTCCTCCCCAGCCTTGGGCTCCAGCCCCTGCCCCAGCCTCGCTGCCCTGCTCTGGCCACGCTCCAGCCCCTCCATGGCCTTCTTGGGGTGAGGGGCCCAGCGCTGAGCACAGCATTCGAGGGGCGGCCTCACCAGTGCCCAGCACAGGGGCAGATCATGAGACTTCAGCCAACTGCTTGTCGAACGCTTCATCTATTTCTTCATCCTGGCTGGGGGGTCTACAACAGACTCCCACCAGGATATCTGCCTTGTTGGCCTTCCCCCTCATCTTTACCCATCAGCACTCGACCTTATCGTTACCATCACTGAGCTCTAGACAATCAAACCACTCTCTAACGTATAGAGCTCCCCCACCGCCTCTCCTTCCTCGCCCGTCCCTTCTGAAGAGCTTGTAGCCATCCATCGTGGCACTCCAGTCATCCCACCATGTACCATGAATAGGTACGGGGCGGGGGGGGAAACTGAGGTAGAAGAAAATAGAAGGGGTACAGGGAGCCCTCCCGTTGAGGCACGAGGCTCAGAACGGCCCCCCGACTTTCTAAACTTCCCAGAGAGGAGCCTCCGTGCGGACCCACTCCTCATCCCAGACTTGGTCAGCGGTTTACGTCTAAGGATTCTGTATGTCTAGCAGCAGTTCAGGGTTGGTTTGCAGCAAGGAGAAAATCACAAGAATTTAGCAGTAACTAATCATCGATTAATTTGGCATCTACAAAGCGATTAAATGAGGTTTACTACAATACTTGAATCGATTCGCACAATAGGCCTAAATACTCATTGTACGCGCGGACGAGGGTACCCATTGAAATTCACTCGAGTTTAGTACAAATGCAATATGCACAGATGAAGGCAGCTATAAAAATTCCCCTCGGGTTTAGTGAAATACTCACTTTAAACGACTGTCTCAGCACGTGAAAGTCGAGCCTCAAGGAGCAAAGGGCGCCGGAGATCAGCTCAGGTTTTGTTGCCAGGCCTCCGTATGCAAACTTGAAGTTCGCAGCTGTGAGAGGCGTCCCGCTCGGAGGGAGATGCTGGCGCAGCCCGCCGCGGTCCAGCAGAGCTCGAAGGGTCTCCCTTGGCCCCGCTGTTTATAGGGTCACGAGACGACTGACTTTAGGCATCAGTAAATTGCCATCCTTTCACAGCCCGTGTTGGAAGTTACTAAAGTTCTCAAAAATTCCAGCGATGCTGGTGCAGATCCTCCCGAGTTACCTGTTCCAAGGTTGTTGGGGCTGCCTCGCTGCTACAGACGTTGTCCCAAAAACTCGGGTCCGTTACCCGGTGTGCGTCGCCCAATTCACACACAGGGTCGAGGTATTTTCCTTTATTACGTAAATGCGCAAATACGGGTGCGCGGTGCAAACCAGCACACTGCTGATGTAAACTAACAGTTATTTATACAATCATCTAATACATTTTCATTGTCACTTTGTTAAATGATTGGTTAAAATCCTTCGCCTGCCGTGTAAATTACTGCGCATGCTCGCTATGATCCTGGAGCCCTTTACGTCCTTAATCTTGTGGGTGGGTGGGTGGCTTTCTTGAGTGGGTGGTCCTCGAGTCGGTGGCTGTGATCTCCCCCTGCCGAAATTACCTTTCCCCTAAGTTGTAGAACCACAGGAGGCTTTGGGCTGGCAGGGCCCTTTCCAGGCCATCCCCTCCATCCCCCTGCCATGGGCAGGGACAGCTTCAAACACATCAGGGTGCTCAGGGCCCCGTCCAGCCGGGCCTTGAAGGTTTCCAGGGATGGGGCATCTCCCACCGCTCTGGGCAACCCCTGCCACTGTCTCACCACCCTCGGCGTAAACAATTTCTTCCTTATATCCAGCCTGAATCTCCCCTCTTTCAGCTTAAAACCATCCCCCCTTGTCCTGTCGCAGCAGGCCCTGCTAAAAAGCCTGTCCCCCCCTTTCTTGTCGGCCCCCTTTCAGCACGGCAAGGCCGCAGTGAGGTCTCCCCGCAGCCTCCTCCTCTCCAGGCTGA